GATGTGTCTGATATTCAGGACAACATCCCCAGGGAGACTATGGCGGGATGCACCGATTGGTGTTTTTGTTTTGTTTCCTTTGGGGAGGCTCTGGGCTGCCTGGACTCTCCCCTACTTCCACAGCTTTGCTTGCACCGTGTGGCACAGACTGCTGGCTACTCAGTAGCATCCATAGTCACCTTTTCCCCTTGGTCCTCAGCCAGACTTCACTTCCCAGACTCCCCTCCTGGGGGCATGTGACCAAGCAACAGAGTTTCAGCCAATCAAATGATAACAGAGGTGCTCTGGGCCACTTTCAGGCATAATAAAAAGGGAAAATCCTTATGGATGGCAAGAGATTACAACCCAGGGCAACCTTGGAAGCCTAAAGTGGCTGTCCTGTAGGTCTCTGAAAGACATGAAAAGTACTCCTCAAGTCAATCTGCACAAACAAGCAGGGTTTTGACTTGTTCAGTGTTGTCTCCCTGGCCCCAGAGTAGTACTTGGCACCCAGTACTTACCATCCAACTTTAGACACCATTGAGTACAAGGCACACCATTATTTTATGTACCGATAAGAAGTTTAAAGGATTACCAATTTAACTATGACACTATACATTTGCTCAGAATTGTTTTTCCATTTATTGAGAGAGCTCTTTTAGATTTAGTGAGTCTTAGATTTTCATCATAAATCACTCTTGTGCATAATAAAATGGGAAATAGAAATGAAAAAAGGGGGCTAAGGTATTTCTAGAATTTCTTCTCATTCCAAATATGATCTCTGAGAGTGACCCATGACCATCTTTTTCACAGGCTCCCATCCTCTGCAGCATCAGGAGTGTTGATGATGCAGCATTTCTCAAAAGAATCCATAGAAGAGCTAACTAAGCGTCATATGTGCTGGGCTCCTAAGCCAGCTTCATAGTGCTGTCGATCCAGCAATATCACAAGTGATGCCAAATGTATATGATTCACTGCCTCCCCATACCATGTGATTCTTATTTATTAAGAGCATCTTCCATGATTTTGGAGGGGATTTTTTCCACCAGACTATTGTCACACATTCTGTGCATTTTGGTGCTGGGACTTCTGAGTTGTGGCAGAGGAAAATGTGTCATAGAATTAAAAAAACACATGATTATAGGTTCTCAGTGTATTTGTTGAATGAATGAGTAGATGAACAATGAACTCTAGTTCCCAGAATATAATTGAAAAATACATGGACTTCCTTAGGAAAGGGTCTTCAAACAGTGAGGATCACATAACAACACTCAAAAAACTAAGGTAACTATCAATTAGGCAAATTTTGTTTGAAAATAACAGAAAAGCCAATCAAAATGGCCTAAATAAGGACAAATCAATTAGCTCACAGAACAAGAAGTCCTGAATTAGAGCAGATCTGGTGTTGGCTAACTCAGTGACTGTGGGTAAAATTGTAATATTTCCGGAATATCTCACCTGACTTTAGTACATTTGCATATCAACAGGCGTTCCTCAGGGGTGGAGAACTGTAGTTCATCTCCATGTCAATGAGTAATTACCTGGGCAACCTAGGGCTTATCTGAGCCTGAGAGGTTAGGGGGAGGTCTTTTTTTTAGCTTCTGCCTGAGTAGGAAATAGAGACAGCCCTGGATTGTAGTTTGTAACTAATAAATGGGCTTTAAACTTTATTTCTCATTTTGACTGATTTTGGTTTTAGAGGTATTTTGCCCTGGGATTTCCTCTCCCTGGAGTTAGTGACAGTTCAGTAGGGACCAGGCTCCTTGTCATCTTTCTCCTCAGCTAGGCACACTGGCTTGGAACTCAGACCAGCTACCCCCATGGTTGCCAGTTGACTGGTTTGGTTTTAGGTGTCAGATCCAGACATGAAATGTCCAGTGGAGGTAAAGGATTGTATTTTCCTTATGACACTTTTTAAAGTAAGAAAACTTGTCCCAGTTTCTCATCTCATCAGCCAGGCTGGGTCACAAGGCTGTCCAGAAAGCAGTCCCCAGCAGAGGAGTATTATCACCAGAATTGAAGAGGGGTTGTGAGAGCATCAAATTCCACACCCTCATTTTACTAAGGGGTGGTCAGATGGCTTGCTCCATCTCAGGATTAATCACTGGCTCTGCAGGACCACCCAAGCCTCTAGATTCCCAGACAAGGGCCTTCCCATTGGCTGCCTCCTCCCTGAGAGGATACTTCTGTTCAGAGGACACTGGGCTGGGGATCATGAGGGAGGGCACTGGAGGGAAAGGGTCAAGACTGCCAGCCTAGAAATGGTTTGAGGCAAAAAAAAGGCCTAGTGGACTTGCAAAATGAATGAGAAGCTCTGTCCATCATAGCCTGCTACTTTAGACTAGCCAGACTCCCAGAAAAGAAAACTTCTTGGGAGACTGTCAGTTAACAAGCATCTGAGTCAATTCCTTAAGAACCCATAATAGAAAAGATCTGAATGCAGACTTACAACATAAAACATAGCCTAGAACATAGAGGAGCTCTATATAAGGAAAGAAGGGAGGGAGGAAGGAAGGAAATCCATTAAAAATAATTTACACATAGTAATTTACATATTTACATATATTTCACAGTTTTACAGATTTTAAAAAGGACAGTGCCCATGAACTCAAATACCTTAACCTCTACTTAAGCTGTGTGACCTTTGGCAAGTCCCTTAACCTCTGTGGTTAAGGGTTCCATTTTTCTGTAAATCAAGGAAAGGGATGTTGTGAGGAAGAAAAGAGAAAGCAATGTTGTGTATAATGAACTCTTAGTAAATGATGGTTGAAGCGGAGGCTTTTGTTTCATACCTTAAAGGGAAGAACAAACAACTGGGAGATTCAAGACCAATGAGGCAGAGCGTGGGCAGCCCCACACAGCCCGCCCTTCTCCCTGAGGCTCAGCCCGCTTTCCCACAGGAATTTGCCGACCCTGCTCGGATAATGCTGCCATCTGTTGGGAAGAAGGAGGAAGTGAACACAGGCAATTTGTCAGAAAAAGTAAATTTCAATCAGTTTTTCTTTTTTAAAGGTAAGCAATAGGATATTATTCAGCCTTAAAAAGGAAGGAAATTTTGACGCGTACTACAACATGGATGAGCCTTGGGGCATTATGCTAAGTAAGATAAGCCAGTCAAAAAAGACAAATATTGCTTAATTTCACTTTTATGATGTATCTGAAGTAGTCAAACAGAAAATAGAATGGTGGTTGCCAGGGGCTGAGGGGAGGGGCAACGGGAAGTTATTTAATGGAATAGAGTTTCAGTTTTGGAAGATGAAAGGTTCCAGAGATCTAGCTGAACAATATACTAACACCATGAACTGTACATGTAAAAATGGAAACTCATATGTTATGCATATGTAGCCACAATGAACAAAACAACAGTAAGTGATGGGGTTATAGTAATAAGCACAGGGTAGGTGCTTGACTTCATGCAACAGAATCACAACGAATATCTGTTGAATGAAGATGGAAAGAAGTGATGCTGACAAACAGTCTAGGACGCCAGGGTGAACATAAGAATGGACAGCTTTCCTTCCCTGATGGCCTTCCCTGTGACTGTAGTCAGTCTTTATAACCTTTTCCTTGGGAGGATAAATTGGTTGTCATTCCTGTCCTCACTCAACATTAACTGAGTTAAGATTTTCTCTTGTCATTCCTTCTGATACTTGTTTGGTACCAAGTTCAGCCTGAGCTGGAATGTCCTGCCCTGAAAACTGTATCTTCCTAATCAACACTGGTGGCAGCAGCCATGTTTCTGTTGATTCCAGGGCTGCAAGTTCCCAGACGATAGAACCTCCGAAGTACAAGGGCTTCAAGCAGCCTGGTGAGATTTAAGAGATTTATCTCTGTAAGTCCAGGGAGAGGAAATCCTGGGGCAAAATACCTTTAAAACCGAAATCAGTCAAAGGGAGAAATAAAAATTAAAACACATTTATTGCTTACAAACTGCAGTCCCAGGCTGTTTCTCTCTCTTCTTACTCAGGCAGAAGCAAGCAAGGGCCTCCTCCTAACCTCTCAGGTTCAGATAAGCCCTCAATTGCCCAGGTAATTACCCACTGATGTGGAGATGAACTACCTTTCTCCACCCCTGAGGAACACCTGTTGATATGCAAATAAACTTAAGCCAGGAGAGATATTCTGGAAATATTACAATTTTACCCACAATCTCCTACCTAATCAAAATATATAAATATGAAAAATATCTTAAATAGTGACTGAGCAAAAGCAGTAAGCAGCAAGGCCAAGGCCTGAACTTTGACCATCTGGGACATCCCCTCCCCACTCCTGCAGCAGGCAGAGTGTGGGACAAGTTCCCCAACTCTCTTTTTGTCAGCTAGGCAACTGCTCTGTGACAGCAGAGTTGGTAGCCATGAGTGGAAACCCAGGTCTATAGGGAAGGGAAGGGGAAATGGGATGGGCAGAGTCAGGAGAACTAAACAGAATGATTGCACCATTCTCCTCCACACCCAGCTGGAAGTTTGAATAACCGGGTTCTCTCAGTTGCTTTGGATGTCTGGGAGTGGATTTCTTTTACCAAGTGTAAAAATAACCATTGTATCCTCTCCCAGAGCTTCGCAAAAAACACTCCTTCTGGAAACCTTGTGCACTGTTGGTGGGAACATAAATCTGTGCAACCACAATGAAAAGCAGTATGGAGGTTTCTCAAAAAACTAGGAATAGAAATACCATATGACCCAGTAATTCAGCTTCTGGGAATTTACCCAAAGAAAAAAATCACCAGTTTGAAAAGATATATGCACCCCTATGTTTATTGCAGCATTTTTTACAATAGCCAAGGTACAGAAGCAACGTAAGTGTCCATCAATAGATGAATGGATGAAGAAGTGGTGCATATACACAATGAAATATTACTCAGCCACAAAAAGGAATTAAATCCTGCCATTTGCAACAACATGAATGGACCTAGAGGGTATTATGCTCAGTGAACAAAATTGGACAGAGAAAGACAAATACCATATGATTTCACTTACAGGTTGAATCTAAAAAGCAAATGAACAAACAGAAATGGACTCATAGATACAAAAAACAGACTGGTGGTTGCCTTAGGGAAGGGGGGTAGGGAGATGGGGAAAATTAGAAAATTGAGAATTTTTGATATCTTGATCAGGATGATGGTTATGTGTGTATACATGTGTGAAGATTCATCAAGGTGCTAAGATTGTGCATTTTATTGTATGTACCTCAATTTTTAAAAACAAAAGAAAGAACACCTTTTCTCCCTTACTCACCAGGGGTGGAGCAAGATAAGTCAGTAGATTTCCCCCAAAGAGTCCAAGACTTAAAGTTTGTCTCCAGGGAGCCCGTGCAGCAGCCTGGGGGTCTGAGCGTTTCATCCTGGTCCATTACAGAAGTGCAGGTTTCCCAGGGGCTGCTGGCCTTTATCAGAGGACTGCAGGGCAGTCCCTTTGTCTGATGTGTTTAATAACTACCCATAGACCAAATTAGACACATCCTTGGTTGGCTCCCTGAGACCTGAGCAAATTTCTGTTTCACCATCACTGTTCATTGTGGGCTCCAAATTTCACTCAGACAACACCTGGGCACCCACAGGCTGCCCAGGTCAAGCTGAGCTGGGTGGGATAGGCTGGAGATGGGGGCGTGTGTGTGTGTGTAATTACATTCCTCTAGAGACAAATACAGACAGTGGATCATTCCGAGAGTCGGTTTGCTGGGCAGGGACAGAACCAAAATTTTTACAAATCTCTTGCCTCACGCATTAACATATCACTGGGGGAAAAAATTTACAATCAGAATGACCACAGAATTATCATCCAAACTGGGATGTTTGTGATAACAACGTGGGAGCCATTAACAATTATGCTGGGGACAGCACAGACCAGGGCAATCCTGGGCATGATAGATCATCCATGAATGGAGAGATAACAAAGCAAACAGGAGGAGAATCCAGTCATCACTATTTCTCATTCTCCCTTATGATTACAAACCAAAAGCATGAGCTCCTCATCAGAGCAAGCAAACATGACAGTTTCCAGTGGGGATTCTGAAACTAGCAGGCCCCAGAAAGGTATCCTTTGTCTCCCTGAAACTCCTGTGAGAGGAAATCCAGGGCAAAATTCCTCTAAAACCATAATCAGTCAAAGGGAGAAATAAAGTTTAAAACCCATTATTGCTTACAAACTGTGGTCCTGGGCTGTTTCTTTCTCCTGCTCTGATAGAAGCAAACAAGACCTCTCCCTAACCTCTCAGGTTCAAATAAGCCCTCAGTAGCCCAGATGATATGGAGATGAACTACTTTTCTCCACCCCTGAGGAACACCTGTTGATACACAGATGCACTAAAGCCAGGCAAGCTGTTCTGGAAATACTATGATTTTACCCACACTCCCTGAGGCTATTCCCACTGTGCAGTCTCTTCTGACCCATTGGTCAGTGCTCAACTCATCTGACAGTCCTTGTTGCATGGGAACAGCCAGAACCTCAGGGTAGCAACAGATTTTTCAGTTCATTATTAAGAAGCCCCTCCCAGGAGGTCCAGCAGTGGGGAGTACTTCCTCATTGGAGAAACCTATGTGCATATTAAGATAGAGCAGGGAATGCGGTAATTCTACACTTGGCCTGCAGGGGGCAACATCTCTTTAGCAATGACCACACACCAAGCAATACTGCAGGAAACACATTTAATGGGCCAAGGAATAAGGGCTTTGTTTAAAAAAAAAAAATCAGATCAATATTATTTCCAGTATGCAATTCCCACCCCTACACATTCTCATTCATACAGATATGTTGCTCTTTTTCTATTTACAATGCTAGGTATATAGTGAGTTTTTAACAAATAAATACAGAAGGATTGATCAGATGGTTGAAAACCCAGACTTGCCTAACCTATGTGCATATTAAGATAGAGCAGGGAATGCGGTAATTCTACACTTGGCCTGCAGGGGGCAACATCTCTTTAGCAATGACCACACACCAAGCAATACTGCAGGAAACACATTTAATGGGCCAAGGAATAAGGGCTTTGTTTAAAAAAAAAAAATCAGATCAATATTATTTCCAGTATGCAATTCCCACCCCTACACATTCTCATTCATACAGATATGTTGCTCTTTTTCTATTTACAATGCTAGGTATATAGTGAGTTTTTAACAAATAAATACATAAGGATTGATCAGATGGTTGAAAACCCAGACTTGCCTGAGGCATGGAAAGTACAGGGTGAAATAGGAGGAAAGGAAGTAGGGATTGGTGAACTTCGTGGAAGAGCACTTTTCTTTCTGGTTAATAGCTTGCCCAGGGGAAAAAATGCATTTGAAAATTTCCAAAAGATCTTTCTCCAAGTGCAAACCACAAGAAATCAAATTCCTTAAAAACAAAAATAAAACAGTAACCTTGATTTTATAAATCTTCCTCATTTCAAAGTTCATCCTGTATACAGGTTAGATAAATGAGTTCCAGGTTTATGCAAGTTTATACATATTAAAGCTTTTATATTTAGACTCGTCCCATTCAGATGCATTGATTCTGAAGTGTCTCCACTCCTGTACCTTCCTAGACTCTGCAGAGCCTGGCTGAAGGCATCCTTGAGTAGTTTCAACAGGCAGCCCAGAGCAAGGCGTGCCCTCCTGGCCTTGGCTGGCCAAGCAGTGGACATGCCTGTGTTGAGTCAGTGACACTCTCCTTCCCACAGAATAGGTAGGGGGGCCTGCAGCCTAACCGCTCAGATTAGGCTCCTTGCGGTGTTTTTGAAGCAGCAAAGAATCAGCACCTTTAATACCACCAGTGACCCTGAGGACCCAGAGACACCAGGGATCCCAGGTAAAAAAAAAAATGCCTTTTCCAAAGAGACCAACAGACTCAGGTGGCTATGAAGGGTGGGCCTAAGAGAAGAGCGACTGTCCTCTGGTGAGAAACACATACCCACAGACCACCTTGGGCAGTGGTGAGGGTACACGGGACAACCAGTGGCTACTGGCCTTATCACAGGTCCAGACCCCCATCTTCAAGAGTTCCTGGTTACATTGCTTCACTGGGTAAAACCGCTGCAGGGAAGGAGGTGATAAGGTACTGTAGCAGGCAGAGCTGAGAAGGAGAAACCTGTGATCCCATGGACCAGTGGGGCCACCACAGCCAGAGGCAGGAGTAGATGGCCGAACAGCAGCAGATAATGCAGGAGCCTGAGCTTGCTACCTGTCCTCTGGGAGAGCCCTGGGAGTTGTGGCTGCTGGCCCCAGCTCCCAGCCAGGGCCCAAAGCCCTAGGTACATATGAGGAGGAATGCAGCGTGTGGGGGGATGGGGGGGGGTCTCATCACCTTCTTGGGCGCTGAGACTGCAAATGGGTGTGCTCAGCGGAAGGGGGATCAAGTGAGCAGTCCCACAGCCAGGGCCAAACCCGAGGAAAGGGGACAGCAAGCGTGGTGTGCCACATGCCACAAGCAGCTGAGCCGCGTCTCTTTTTCCTCCCTATCCTATGATGTGGTACAAGTGAGCGGCCTTGGCTGAACGGTGTCTCTGGGTCTCAGAAGGTAAGAGAAGGTTAGAAAACCGCAGGGTGAGCAGGTGTCAAGGTGGGGATAGGAGGCCTTTATACAGGAGGACGGGACAGGAAGGCAGGGTCAGAGACATACAGTGGAGTGGGCGCAAGAGAGAGCTGTGGGCCTGCCCACTCCCCAACCAAAAAAAGTCTCCACATACAGCCAGGGACAACCAGGCAGCACCCAGCTTGCCTACGCCTGCCTATTGAAACCCCCAAGGGTAGGGCCTGGCAGGGGGTGAGTAAGGTGGCATTCCTGCCCTTTGAGGTTGAGGCTGGCCCGCAGGTGGCATTCCAGTCTAGGAGAGAGGAGAGGAGCCAGGACCCCACCCGGTTGTCCCCGTGCCTCACCCCCACCAGGAAGAAAAGCTTGGCAGGCAGGGGAGAGGCGCCCATCACTTTCCGCCCCGGGGAAACGCAGACGGGGCACCGGGCTGCGTGGCCATGATGTGGTAGATGGATTCTCGGAAGCGCTGGTCTCGGCTGAGCCGCCTGGCCACTTCCTTTAGCTCCTCCATGTTGTTGGCGTCCAGCTGGGAGGTCATGAAGGACTGGGACGGCTTCACTGGAGAGATGGTGGCCCAACGGCCCATGAACAGCCCTTCCTCCACCAAGGCTTGGCCTGTCTCCAACCCCAGCCTGTCTCCCTTGCTCCTTGGCTCCCCATCCTACATGTTGCTGGGCTTCTTCTAGCCCTTTCCATCTCTGGGCTCCCACGATCCTGGGAGAAGCCCAAGGCTGGCGGAGCCAGGTTCAAGGTCACACTGTCCGCCTCAGAGCTGGACCAGCCACTCCCACTCCCACCTGCCCCCTTCCCACTTTGTCACCAACGCCCTGTGACCACCCCTACCCCACCCGGGCACACAGCCAACCAGACTTACTGTCATTCCAGGAGGTGCTGGACCGGCGCCGGTGGAAGCGGCAGCTCTTGATGCGGCGCGTGGCTGCCTTGTGGATGTACACGGAGTTCTTCATGATGACCGGCATCTTGGCCTCCAGCTCAGCGTTCCGGATGCACTCCTCGAAGAACCCTGCGGCCGCAGTGCCACTGCACCCTTCCCTCCTGCCCTGCCCCACCCTTCGCAAAGATCCAGGGGCAGCTGAAGGGGAAATACATCCGCCCTACTTCGTGGGAGCGCACAGCCACCCATGGAAGGGAGCAGAACTGCCAGCTTTCCCACATGCCCGCACCCCAGATCCAACCACCAAAGGAAGCTGCACCAAGGAGATGATGCCCGCAGGCAGGAGTCTGGAGGAGAAACCCCATCAGTATCTATGGATCACCTAATGCACAGCAGGCTCTTGTGGCCCTCTAGCCCTGTTCTGGGCTCAGGGGGCCTGGGCTGGGCTGGGGCTGAGATCCAAGGCTGGGGGCTGGGCACCCGGGGGCAGGGCTTACTTTTCAGATGGCTCACATCAGCACGCATCCTCTCCTCCTTCTCCTTGTTCCGCACCTTGGAGTTGAGCCCCTGTTCCAGGCTCCGCAAGGCCCCCTCTGCCTCCCGCAGACGCCTTTCTAGGTCCATGCGGACCTTCACCTCAGCCTGAGGGGAGAAGGGAGCACGTCCTAGAAAGCAGTTGCCATCTCCCCCAGGAGTCTTCCTTGAACACCCCTGGCTCAAGTGCGCTTTCTCGCCTCCGGATCTAGATAGAAGTTACCACACTCTGCCTCATGTCTTACACCATTGACCAGATGACCTGGCCTGGGCCCTGCACGTGGTGCATGTCTACTCATGATGCCCCACTGAGGTGGCAGGCTCATGGCTCCCCCTCCTGGTGGCTCCATCGCCTGCACCTGGCCGGCCAGACTGGCAGAGGTAATTCGGGTAGCTGAGCAGTAAAGGGCAGAGATATGAGGGAAATCTCCAGCTGAGGGGAGGTCCCTGAGCATAAGCTGCTCCCAGCAAGCCTCAGCCAGCACCTTGAGCTCCCGCTCAGCCTGCTGTTTCTCTGCAGTCAGCTCCTGCAGCGAGTTCTGCAGCGCCTGGGACTGGCTTGAGTAAAACTCACGCTCCTCCTCCAGGGCCCGAGAGCGGTCCTCATTCTCCTTCATCCTGCCCGGGGAAGAGAGGCACTCACTCAGTGCTCACTCATCGGAGGGGGTCTCCGGTGGGACGGCAGACCCTTGTAGAGGCCTGGCTGCAGAAACCCCAAGACCCAGGCCTCATGAGCTCTAGGACTTTCTGAGCCCTGTCACCCGGGTGATGAGAGGGGTGGTGCAGTCGGTGAGGTCAACCCCAGGCTTCAAGTCAGAAGACTGGAGTCCTCAGTCAAGGTCTTGCTCATTCTGGGACCTCAGGAAAGTCCTATAACCCCTTCCAGGCTCAGTTTCCTCATCTGTAAGAAGGGGCTAAGAGGATGTGCCCAGCTTGCCACAAAGCGCTGCCACACAGACCTGACAATTTATGCTTCACACCATAGCAAGAGAGGATTATCAAGTCAGCTTGTAGTGAAGGTCCTCTACTCATTTTACTGGTGGGGAAACTGAGTCCCTGGCAAAAGGAAGTAAGTGACCTATCTAGTCAATGCTGACTAGAAGCCAGAAATCCAGCTGAAGGAAAGTTACCAAACTGGACTAAGAGGTTTAAGGCTCCTCACCGCTTCTCCGCCAGAAGCTTCTCCTCCAAGAGCTGCTGCATCTTCTCCTCAATCTGCCTGAGGTTGCTATGGAGACCCCCGCTGGGAGAGGGCTGCTCACTCGGATTGGCCAGTGTCTGCAGCTGGTTCTCATTCTCCTCCAGCATTTCCAAGGTTTTCTTCTTCTCTATGGAGAGTTCCTGGCATGGAAGTAGGGAAGGAAGAGAAAGAGCCCAATTTAGGTTCTGTAACGTGGCTGCCCTCACCTGACTTTCAATTCCAGGGATGCCCTTCCTCTCTCAGTCCTCCATGAGGAAACCTGAAATGGCTCCCCTCTTCCCTGGAGGTAAAAAGCCAACCACGTTCTTCCTTACAACCAGGCCAGGCTACTTTCTCTTCCAGCAAGGGAAGCAGGGACGGGCCCAGGGCAGCTGCTGGTGGAGGTGTCTCTTACTGCAACTGGGTCAAGGCCCAAGGGCACGATGACCTTCTGGAGGCTTTATTCCTCCAGGGGTGAGTGAGGGAGTGTGTTGGACTCACATGAAAAACACCCACCAAGAGGAGATTTAACATTCTCCTCCTTTATCAGGCTGGGATCTTGCACCTCCCAGAAATTCTGGAGTTGAACTCCATGGGAACCACCTCCCACGATGTGAAACAAAAAGATAAATAAAGGCACCCAAACAAAGCATCAGTCAGTCTTGGGAGAACAGAAATTCTCACAGACTTCAAGGCAACTCATGAATCCTGTAAACATTACAGACCCCCGACAATGTGCCAGGCTCGCTCTAGGTGCTGGGCTCAGAGAGACCTTAAGACACAGTCCAGTGAAGTTCACAGTTTGGAAAACACAATTTAGTGTGTCAAATCCCATGACAGATGTGCAAAGTGTTGGGGAGGCCAGAGCTCAGAGCAAATCCCTGCCTCAAAGAGTCAGGGAAGCTTGAGTGAGGTATGATTGAGCTGAATCTTAGAAGAATACGTGAGTTCTCAGGCAGAGAAGAGGTGAAAGGATGTTCTGTGTAGAAGGAACATGTTGGACAAGGATGTGGAGGATGAAAGACCTTGGCTTCCTTGGGGCACATTTGGAGTAGGGGTTGGGGTGTCTGTGTGGGGTACAGAGGGGCAGCCAAGGGAGAGTGAAGCAGGAGGGGAGGAGAGGCTGGGGCCAGAGTTTGCACTTGCACTGCCATGCTAAGGAGTCTGTACTTTGCCCTTGACACATGCCACCTCCTTGTCCGCTACAGTTTCTGTGGCATTAAATGAAGGTGACCTGACAGTTGATCTCCCTTCATGATCAATTTCACCCAGGAGCAGCTAAGTGACTGAGCCACAGGAAGGAAGTGGTGGGTGGCCCTGCCTCCCACCCTAAGCAATCCTTCATCTGGTATAAAAACATAAGCACTTAAGAAGATGGAGTTTATGAGGCCACAGTCATGGCGAGGGCACACTTGAGTTGGCCCTCCTGAGTCCTGCTTTGGGCCTCATGTACTGGCCGGAGTTCCCAATGATCCACAGAGAAGAGACCCTTCAGATCAGCGCTACTTTGTGCCGTTTCCATGCAGATAACTTTCTGGGGACACACTGTTGGAAAAACAGTATCACGTGGCCCAACCAACCGGCTTGCTTCCTGGTCAACAGCGCACCAGCGGCCCCTCACCTCCAGCGTCTGCTGCAGGGACTCCGTAAAGTGCCTCAGCTCCCTTTTCTCTTGCTCCACACCCTTGAGGCATCTTGCGGTCAGTTCTAGCTCTCTGCAGGGACAGAGCACTAGATATGGCACTGCCCCCTCCCCACCAATCCCCTCTGCACACAGAAATGCTTCTGCTTCAATTCCCAATATGGTTGAGAGGGGTCCTTGGAAGGCCAGCCCCTCTGCATGGCTGGGTCCTGACAGCAGCTGGAGGAGCTTGTGGCTGAACGGAGTTTCCAGCCAAGTGGGGGTGAAGTCACACATGCAAATCTCAGCCGGGATAACGCAGGGCCACCCCAGGGGCAGGGAGAGGCACTGGAGAAACAAAGGGGTCCTGGCCTCCAGAAGCATGGGTTCTATATGCCCTGGCCTCCGGCTCCTTTCTCCCCTCTCCCCCCTGGGTGCCACCACCACCTCCTGATCTGTTCTTGCTCCGTTTTCAGCTCCTGCACCACCTCCTCAAACTGCTGCTTCTCGGCCTCCAGCACCTGGTTGAGGCGCTCGAGCTCCTGAAGAGAATCAGAGAGGAAGAGTCACAGGAAGCAGAGGGGCCCTGAGGTCAGGCAGGCCCCACTCTAGGCCCTCTGGGATTCAGCACTGTGTGGGGCATATGCTGGACCACATTTGGAAGTAAGTCCTGAAAGCCCTGGTCCTACTCAGCAGTCTCAACAAAGCCCACGTCTGTGATGAGCTCGGCCCACTTAAATCACATTGAGTGTGCGGAAGGTAGGGCTCAGCAGTAACCCTCACGCTGTTCCTGCGACTGTAAATCTAAATGTCTGCTACACTGGACGGGCTCCAGTCGCTCTCACCCTAAGGCATGTTGCGTAGCCCTCAAGCCCTAGAGGAAAAGGTAGTGAGTGTGTATTTCCATTAAAGTTCCCTGGAGTACTATAATAAAGACAATGTCTTTTGGGAAAAAAAGGTTCCCTGGAGTGACATCTGTTGGAAATGGCAAAGAAAAGCCATTCCCAGCCTCAAAGTCAGAGAATGATGACTCGTTTTTCTCGAGGCTTCTGGGAAGCAAGGAGCCCAGATGGCTGCAGCTTCCCCTACACTTAGCGCCAGGGAACAGGAGAGCCAGAAGGCCCAGGATAGCCCCCAGGGCCAGAACAGTCTCATCAGGAATGGTGGTAAGCACCCGTGCTTTCCCAGCAAGCATGTGCCCTACAAGGGCCCGTCCTCCTGGGGTTCAATGGCAGGTGGTGCTGCAGCGTACACCTCACGTGAAGCTGGCTGGAAGTGTTTCATGACAACTGCTTTGTCCCTCACATTTTATGCTGTGGAAGGATATTATTTCCTTTCTTTCTCATCTTCTTTCTTTTTTCTCACTTGCTGTCTCATCTTCTAGCCCCAAATTACACTCCTATTTCTCACCAAGGGGCTTTGTTCTCAAGGATAATGGAAACCCTACCAGGAATGAGGCTGCCTATGGGAAGAAGTTACCATTGGCTTTGAAGAGATACAGAGAAGGAATAAAACCAAGGAAAAGGAAGAGTCTGACGCCAGACTCCATGACCTCTATCCCTAAACTTCTTACCCAAAGAGTTGCTATTTCTTTCCCTTCAATTCAGTATTGGCACTTATGGTGTGAACCACTATGGTCACCACAAGGGCTGCTCACTGGCATTGATGCCCCTCCTTTCGCACTGTGACACTGTAAGGCCGCAGCACACCTGCTAAAGCTGTGGGCCTCTGGGACTGGCTGAGGCCAATGGAATATGAGCAGAAGTGTGTTACTCCCAGGCAGGTGCCTTTAAGAGACATGAATCGGAATCTTCTAGGGTTGAAGGAATTTAATAGGCAATTTGGTTTTCATCACTTAAATCTCCTGCTCAGTTCGCTTGCCAAGAGATGGTCCAGGCTCTGTTTGAATGGCTCTCATGATAGGCAATTCACCCTCTCTAAAGATAGCCCATGTCACTTCTGAACAATCTGATAAAAAATTCTCCCTTCCAGGATCGACCTCAGCACTGGCACTCTCTGAGAGCTACAAACAGAAAAGCAGTGATGAAGGATGGCAGATTTGCCAGGAGTTTTGTGAGGCTCCGATGAGAGGGCTGCATCTCATTTATGGAGCAAAACTTCCCTCAAAACCCCTTTGGCCATCTCTGTCCTTTATGCAAACTTTCCCTTCAGCAGCTGCCTCAGTCCCTGCATCTCCAAATCCAGCCACACCCTCCTCTCAAGCCCTTCTCCCCAGCAGTGGAGCCTGAATACACCAATCAGCAAAGTAAGAAACAGCTCTTAGTGAAACAGAAGACCGACAAAGCCAAGGACAGCAGCCCACTTCCGGATGCCCTGAGTCCCTCAAGCACACCTGAGAGGGGCTGCGGCTCATTTCAACCACCAGTTCCCTTTGAACCAAAATCCACCTCCCCACAACTTCCATCAGCAGGTCTGCCTTCTCCCCCTTGGGTCATAGGACAAATCTCTTTTCCCTTCATGTATCTGGGACAGCTATTCTGTCCCTAAGTCACCTCTCCTCCAAGTCAAACAATTTCATACACCATGCTGCACAGGGCATTGTTTCTAATCCTCAATAAAAGTGATTATGCTCTTGAAAAGAATGCAGTGACATAGGCTCCTGGTTGGAAAGACTGAATTCAGGTAAGAGTCTTCCTAATTAATTTGCAGTGCTCCATGCAATTCCTGTAATAGTCCCAATGAGATCTTTTTTGTAATTTCATTAATTCATGCTACACATATTTATCAAGTGCTTAATATGTACTAAACACCTGCCAGGCTATGACTGAGAATATGAAGATGAACAAAAACAGACATGCCCCAGTTTTCACGGAGCTTACAGTTAGTGCAGGAATCAGGAACAAATAAAATAAGTACATACATTAGAGTACTATTGCAAACCAGGATATGTGATATTCAGAACAGGGACACAGTTCTATGCAAAGCTGCCTTGGACAAGAACAGGGGAAGTAGTTTGTGGAGTGTAGGGGGAGGGCACAGGAGACCCTTGAGCCAACAGGTGAAGGTGGTTACATAGGAGGAAGAGGAAAGAGCATTTCAGGCTCTTGATAGGGAATTCACCCTCTCTTAAACAGCTGTTAGAAATGGCAAAGAAAAACCATTCCCAGCCCCAAAATCAGAGAAAGAGAACTCTTTTTTTCTTAAGGCTCTTAATCTGCAGTCCTTCATCAGTGTTTTTCTGATTGTAGCTTCTTTCAGTATGTGCAAAGACCCTTTGGAAACCTGCTGCCCTGAAAGAACCAAGACAGGCCCAGACAGCTACGCCTAGAGGGAGGGTGAACATGGTGGGAGGGAGGCTGGAGCGGCTGACAGCTAGACCACACCAGGCCTTGGGCTATGCTGGGGATTTTGGCCTTTTTTCTTGAGCAAGAAGCAAGGAAGGTTTGGAGCATGGAATAGAGGAAGATGATAGGTAACATGATCCAATTTCCATTTTAAGCGGTGACTCTGGCTACAGTGTGGAGAAAAGGGAGGCAGAGGAGCCAGAAGAGAAGCAGGGAACCCAGGTGGGAGACCACTGCATCAGTCCAGGCAAAACCTGATAGCAGTGTGAACGAGAGCAGGAGAGCAGGGCAGTGAGCTGGAGAGGCATGGCCAGGCAGGTTCTAGAGCTCTCGGGGCACTGACAGCAGGACTTGGGGGTGGGGTGGGAAGGGGAAGAGATGCAGAGTACAGTGAGGTATGCCTCCCAGCTTTCCAGTCTGCACAAACAATGGATAGTGGTGAATTCCTTGAGTTAGAGGATCAGCTCTGCTGGGGAAGATGGTGAATGGTCTTGGACATGGTGAGTTTGAAGTATCTGAGCCAAATGCTTAGGATATGAAGTCAACAGTTGGATATAAGGAGCCAGAGAGATTAATGTAAACTCGGGACAGACTAGGGACTACATCTATCAACTGGGAGTCATTTGCACAAAAAAGGCAAATGAAGCCAGGATGTGGTCTAGATTGCCTTTGGATCTAGTGCAGAGAGAGAGAAGAGAGAGTGTGGCAGTGATCTTTTGAGATGGGCAGTACTACCTTGCAGAGTTTGGGAAGGGTAACACGAGCTGATCCATGCAAACTGCCTGCAACATAGTAAGTGGCTAAAAAATGCTAACCAGTACTACAAACTGAAATTGTGCAGTATCTATTCAGGAATGAAGAGCAATTGAAAAGAACTGAAAAGAAAATTCTGAAACAGAATTTGTAAAAGATGATAATGATAATGATGATACCAACATTCATTGTGAGCTAACTATACTACATGTGCTGACTCATTTAATCCTCATAACAACTCTAAAAGTGGATACTATTATTGTCCTCATTCTATAGATGAGAAACACAGAGGTAAATAAAGGTCAGGTAACTTGTTCAAAGTCACACATGCCTTCATCTCTTTTCTCTACACTGTAGCTAGTAAATGAAGGAGGAACTCAAACACGGTTGTGGGATAAAGCAAGATGGGCATGTCTACACACTGCTGGTGGAGTGTAAATTGGTACAAATTCTCTGCAAAGCAATTTGCAATATGCATCAGGAGTCTTAAAATTCTTGCCCTTTGAATCAATTATTCCACTGAAAGCCATCTATCCTAAAGAAATAATTAGACCCAAATTTATGTACAAGGATGTTCACTGAAGCATAATTTATAATAGTGGAAATAGCCTACATGTCCAAAAATCAAAGATTAGTTAAATGAAATGTCACATATGACGAACCAGTTTATGGTTATTAAAACTGGAATTAAAAAAAAATCCTAAATGACAATGGAAGACTGCTGAAGGTACAGTGTTGATGAACGTTTGGTACAAAGGCAGGCCACAGAGCTGAGCCAGGAGCTAAGCAGAGGCAGCCATGAACTCTTACCCCGGCATCACAGACAGAGAAACTAAAGCTTGGGGAGGTCAACTTGTCCAAGGCCATGTGGTCAGTGGCAGACTTGAGACTCTAATTTGGGTCTCCTAGTTCCAGATCCTGAGTCTTCCTTTAGGGGCCAGAAAATCTTTATCTTATCCTTGCACCATAGTACCAAACATGTTTCTAAGTGGCCAAGGCACACCCAGACAATCTCTGATCTGCAGGGGAGATGGGAAAGGTGCGGGGTATCGGCCATCATATGGGTGAGCAAGTCAGGGCAGCAAACGCCTTGATGGAGTGACTCAGAGAGCTCTGCTCCTGATCCAGAGCCCGAGGCTGACATGGAAATGTGAACCTGGGCACAGTCCTATCCCCCCTGCCTGCCTGGAGTAGCCTTCACCGCAGGTACCAATGAGGCCCAAGTGAGCCTCACTGACACCAGCAGGCTCCCTCCTTCAACGTGCTATTGCTTTCAGCAAGGCCTGTGTGCAGTGGGTCTCTGCTGTCCTCATTTCCTGGCTAAAGACCTAGATAGAGTGTCTAAATTTTCCTCCAGCTGACTGTTGCCCCAGATTTAGCCTCTCTGATGGATAAGACTGCCTCACATCCTGCCAGTGGCTGGGTCTGCTGCTTGGTCCCATCCCCAGCTTCCTGAATTACCTGTCTTCAGGTTGCTGACAACTCACCAGAAAGCTCACTTCTCAAAATGTATAGAACTGTATGAAGAAAATGCTGAAACTCTAACGTGGGATCCAGATGACAGCCTGGAGACACGGGGGCTCAAACCCCGCTGGGTGGACAAATGCTCAGTACTGTCACAACGCTCATCCTCAAATCCACACAATCCTAATACAAATCCTCTATAGGTTTTAGGTTTCATTTTTAGCATGTTTTAGTTTGGTTTTTTTTTTTGTTGTTGTTAATTGATAAAAGGATTCTGAAGTCCTGCTGGAAGAATAAATGGATAAAAATGATAAAATTCTGGAAGAATAAAAATGAGGGTAGATTGTTCTACTGGATTAAAACCAAAATGTAATGCAAAATCACAAGAATCAAAAATGTCCACTCACTGAGTCATTCCACAAACATTTACCAAGCATTTCTGGGCCAGGTGCTGTGCCAGGCCCTGGAAATGTTTGGGTGCTACAGAGACATGATGCTTCTCGACTGTAGGGCCTGTTTCAGAACCCAGTGAGGGGTGTCTGGGAAGGGTGAGGAGTTAGCAAGAGTCGAGTCAGAGACACGCAGCGAGCCACCACTGATGCACCCAGGCCTTGGACGTGCCTGGCAGAGGACAAGGAAAAGTATCTGGGCAAAGAGAAGTAGACGGATCAGGGCCTCCCTTTGCAGGCTCCTCTAAGAAAACCACTCTGCAGCTTCGTGTCTTAGGCAGTTCATGTGCAGGATGGGCCCCAAATTAATAATAACATGATTGTGATACTAATAAATAGATATTCATTAAGCATATACTATGTGTCAAGTATTTCATATAAAACATGTCACTTATTCCTCACAACATCCCTAATCAGATGTATTCCATTAACCCCATTTTCCATGTAAGAATATCGATGTTCAGAGAGGTTAGGTAACTTGCCCAAGGTCACACAACTAGAAGGGGCAAAGGTCAAATACAAGCATCGGGAGCCTGAACCCAAGTTCACACCAGTAGCCACTATCCTGTGCTGCCCTTTCAGAGTGATAATAACTCCTGAGAACAGGCAAGGGTCAGGGCTGTGTGGAGATTCCAAAGGAAGTGGGGTGACTACCCCACTTAAATAAGGCAAGGGTCTCCTTTACCCTGCAGGCTAACTCAGGCCATTAGAACTTATATTGTTGACATTCAGAGGATGAAGGAGCCCCTGGGATCATCTAACCCAGTCACCTTATGGTGCCAGAAGCCCCTCTATAGATAGTGGAGGCCATCCCAGCCTCCTGAGAATATCACCAGTGACAGGCAGCTCATTACCTACTGACACAGCTTCTACAATTTGTGGATGGTTCTTTCCCTAGAACATGGTCACTTGCCCTTTTTTACTTCTGTTTCTGGGGACTGGCAAGAAGAAACACACTTCTTACAAGAAGCCACAGTAAGTCCCAAGCACTCTCATCTTAATGGCCTTCCTGCTCTGCCCACCTGCCCATCTCATCTCCCAGCAAGTGCCCTGGGTGCCCAGCTCCCCTACAGGATTCCCTAATGCCAGAAACGCAAGCCAGTGCACCTTGCCTGTTAGGGGGCCCATAAAGCGGGAGGCGTTGGGGAGGGGCAGCAATTCGCAGGGCCTACCTCTCTCTGCTCCCTCTGAAGGCACAGTTCTTCAGTCTCTTCCATCAGTTTGTCTGCCAAAGCAAGCACACACACACACACACTCTTGTGAGCAGCTCACTCCAGATCCGGGCTGAGGGGCAGGTGCCTACAGTGCCCTCCATCTCTCCCAGCACCTTCCAAGGAAAAGGCCAGCACTACCACACCCAGGCCAGCCAGAGCGTAGGGCCAGCTCCCAAGGATGGAAGGTGCAAGGCTGGCCTGTGCTGCCACCTTCCTTTCCTGTCACTGTCCCTGCTTTGTGCATTCATGAGATAATGACAGCCTCATCTTTGAAAGTGCAGCCAAGTCTCTGCACCTCCCAGGGGTGCTGTTAACTGGACTGGTCCCCAGAACGCTTCCCACCTGCACTAGTGTCTCACTGGCAGGGAAGGGTGGGCCCTGGTCAGGGGAGGAGGGGTCTGGAGCAGGCAGAGGGGAACCAGTGTTGAGGAGGCCCAAGTGTCTAAGGAGTGGCAGGTGAGAGGGTCCTAGGCAAAGGACCAAACCCCTAGTTTCACCTTCTTCTTTCCCAAACAGAGCATGCTTACCAGCCAGCCAGGGGCACAGAGGCCTGGAGCCCTGTGGTCAGCTTTCAGGTGGGCTGGGAGGTGGGAGCCGGGGGCAAGTCCAGGCCCGGGGACTTCAACTCCATTTATGGGACCCTTACTGAGCGCCTGACACAAGTGCTTACAGGCATTTTCTCATGTCCCCTGATTCCTTACCACCCCTAAAAGCTGGGGACTATTTTTGTCTTCATTATACAGATGAGGAAATTGAGGCCTAGAGAGGCTACACTGCCTGCGGACACACAGCTGACAAAAAAGTGGCAAAGCTGCGTCTAGAGCCCAGACTTCTAACCACCAGGCTCTCCTGCCTCCTGCCGTGCTAGCCAGAGGGACATTTATTATTCCGTGAGGTCCTCCAGGCTCTGAGCTGGTCTCTGGCTCCCTGGCGCCTCACAGCCTGCTAAACCTCACCCAGACTCCCTCACCTTGGTCCTCCACCAAGCCCCTGGCTGTAGCCCTGGCCCGGAAGTGCTGCCATTTGGGAGCCTCAGCTCCCAGCCCAGCCCTCCAGCCAACCTAAATACTCCTGCTTCTCCTTGGCCAACTGCAGCCCCTGGGCCTCCAGGCTTTTGATCATGGCTTCTCCCAACTGGGCATTCTTCCAAGTCCTGGGGAGGGAGGGCAGATGGGAAGGAGGAAAGAAGAGGAAGAAACACAAAATCATTAAAACAGAAGAGTGGAGGAGAAAGAGCATGTGCCTGGTTTGTACTCACTCATCCTTTCTCCTCCAGAATCCCAGCTCACAAGCACTCTGGCACCCCTGGCTCTGGGCATGCCACCAGCATCGATCAGTTACAGTCTCTGGGAGCAGGCCCAGGCTGCAAAGTGGGCCACCGTGGGCTGGGCTAATAGCACTTTCGGAGCAGGAAGAGATTGCTTCCCTGGCTGCTTTCTACAGCACTGAATGCCCACCGCCTGGCACCAGGCCCTGCATGGGACACATATGGGACAAATGCAGTGCCATTTGTTGAACTAAGAGCATGACCCAGCTTGAATATCCATGACCAGGCAGGTGCCAGAGCAGCGTTCATGAGCAAATGGGCTGTGTGGGGCTGGAGGTTTCTGTGATCTGGACTTTGATTTACAAAGCACGAGCTCTGGCCTGTGCTAGGATTAATTGTGGGCCTGAGAAGGTAAGATGAGTTGTCTGGAGGTAGCAAAATCCTACTAATGATGCTGGATTTGATCCCAGGAGTTGGAGACAAATGATGTCCACATCTGCCACTTGTGACTCTAGACAAGCAAAGCTCGCTGTGCTCAAAACAAACTTAGGGGACCCCTCACAGATGCTCTGACCCTGGCCTGTCTCCTCCTGCCAACCAACTCCCAGAGTCCTGTGCCCAAGGAGGCCCAGACATTTTCCTGCCCTCTCCTGGGGTCCCAGCAGAGAGACAGAGAGATTGAGGTTGGCCCAGCCCACACCCTTCCCTCTTGTGGACCCTCAGGCTGCCCCTCCTGGCTGCAAGCACTTACACCTTCCCAGACTCCTGCAGCATCTCCAGCCACTGCGTCTGCTCAAACTCGGACTCGGCAGCCAGCAAGATATTGCCCTGGCAGGAAGAGGAGCCAGGCTTACCTGAGAGGCTGCTCCCCGGCCTCTGCAGGCCCAGCTCTGCTCTCCCACCCCTCAGCCTGTGGTACGGACACCCCTCCCAGGCTAGGCCACCAAAGGGGCTGCCCCATGGAGCCTGGGCGTCCCCAGAGAAGCTGGGCTGCCCCTGCTGAGTCCAGGCTGAGGGGAGAGCTTTACTCACATGGAAGTCCTGGTGGGAGATTTTCATGGCATAGGGCATGCTGGACTCTTCCTTGGCCTCCACCAGGCAGCCCCCCAGAGGGATGACACCCTGAGAAAGAACCAGAACAGGCAGCCCCCACCCCAGCCAGCCCAGGTCACTCAAGGCCTCTGGGAGCCTTTAGCCAAAGCCAGGTCCTGCCAAGGGCCCCAGGCTAGAAGCAGAGCAGACCTGACTCCCAGGGCAGGATGGGGGAAATGGTGGTGGGAGGGCCAGGGCCATCTCCAGGGCACAGGAGGGTGGAGCCAGCCCAGGGGTCCAGGGGCCTTGTGCCCCAAGAAGGATTTTATCTCCAGTCTCTCTGCTAGACCAGAGCAAGGAAAGAGACAATCCCCTGCCCTTCCAGGATACCCTTCCCCATTGTCCCCACTGGGCCCTCCCCTAATATGGCCCTGGGGAGAGGCTACCTCACCTTAGGATGGATATTGAAGTATTTATTAGTTTCAAAGTTCTTTTTTTCACTCTCAGAGTAGTAAAGAAGGAAGCTTTCTTTGATGATGAAAAACCTATAGCAGGTGGTAGAGAAGAGGGGCAAGAAGGAGAGAAGGGGTGAGGTTTCTCAGGATAACAAGAGGGTTTGGGAGTCCCTGAACTCATACAGGGAGCCATGGGTACACTAGCTGGGAACTCATCCTCCCAACTCATGTTCCACATCTGGGCAAAGGCTATGCTCTCACCCCAATCTCAGACTTCCAGCCTCCAGAGCAGGTGAGAAAACACATTTCTGCTTTTTAGCAGAGTAGTTTGACAGTGTAACAGACTGCGTACCCAGCCTATGGTATTTTCTTATGTGAGCCTGAGCAGACTAAGACAAACATCTTCTGGCCTTCCTGACACTTCTGGAGCCGCCTCTCCACTCAGAGCAAAACACTGTGCCAGGGACCTGAGGGGGTGTGGTGGGCAGATCACTACACATGGGCAGGAAGGGGCGGGGCTCTGGAGTCAAAGAACCCCGATCCCTCAAGCCACAGCCTCAGGCAAGCTCTCACTTGCTGAGCCTCCCTTTCAAAGCTCCCCTATAAATGGGGTGCAAATATCTGTGTGTTGAGGTTGCCATGAACATTCACTCACTAATTCAACAGATAATTGCTGAGCTCCTCCTCTGCGTACTGTTCTCGGAGCTGAGGATAGAGTGTGAACAAGAAAGACACAAATCCCTGTTCCCATAAACTTGCACTCAAGTGGGTGTATGTGGTGGGGAGGCAGACAGTGAAGAAATGAGAGATGCTGTGTACCACATGCTGGTAAATGCTATGGAGGAAAATAAAGCAGGGTAAGTAACGGTGTGAGGGGAGGTTTCCATATTAAACAGGGTGGTGAGGGAGAGCCTGATGAAGAAGGTGACATTTGGGGAGAGGGAAGATGTTCCAGGCAGAGAAGCCTCAGGTGCAAATGCCCTAGGGTAGGAAGCATACCTTGCTTTGGAAGGAACTTCGAGGCTGTACCACAAGGAGCCCAGCAGAAAGCAGCTGGGCCAGATCAGGTAAGGCCCTTTGGGCTGCTGTAACAATAGTGATAAAGCTAATATTTAGCACTAACCCCAAGTCATGTCCCATCCCAACCAGGTACTCTGTTAATGCATTTAACACACAATTATCCCAAAGCAGGTGCTGTCTGCATTTTAGATGAGCAGAAGTGAAGCAGAGAGTTGACATGAGTTGGTGAAAGTAAGGTCCTCAGCACTTGCCTGAGACACAGGTTATGTCTCCAAACTTCACACCCTTCCTCTTGCCCTCTGGAGGAGGGCACAGAGAGAGGCACTAGGGCAGCCTTTGCTCTGTGCCAGCCATACTTCAGCAGGTCTAGGAGTCCCTGGGGGCTGCCGAGATCATGAAGGGCCCCCATGCCATGTGTGTCAAGCCTGGCTTAGTTCTCAGCTTGGTTTGGGACAGAGCGCTGATCTGGGGAGGGAAGCTGGCACAGACCTAGAGGGGGAGGGCAACTCCCTGGCTGGTAGGGATGAGTCTCACCCAACAATGGGCACATTTGGCAAATACATTTCTAGGACCCAAAGCGTGGTTTTGCATGTAAACCTCGGTGCCTGCCTGATGTTCCACCTGATGATGCTCAGCTTCTCAGCAGGTGGAGACCCAGGACCTGAGTGCCCTGCAGGGAAGGACACCTCCTCTTCTTGCCTCTTCCTTCAATGTCCCCTTGCTCCCAGAGGTTCTCCTGACTGCCAGCCAGGGTCCATCTCCTCCTGCGCTCTACAGAGTTGGCTGGCTGTGCAAGAGCTGGAGAGAGGCCCTGTTCAGTTAGCCATTTTTGTGTGCTGCCTCCCTTGCTAAGTGCTCTACATGTATCAGAGTATTTGATCTATGCAACAATTCTGGAAGGCAGGACATTTTGTTCCCATTTTACAGATGAGAAAACCGAGGTTTACAGAAGTAATGTGTGCAAGGTCCCACAGCTAGGGCAGAGGTAGAGCTGGGACTGGAACCCAGAGACCACAGCCCCGGCTCCTACAGCACACCACACTGCCTACATCCCCTTCATGCCAGCAGGAGACAGATGGGCTAGGGGCAGTAGGTGTCAAGGCTGAGGCAGCCAAGAGTCAGGGCTCTGCCACTTATCAGCAGTGTGACCAGTGCAAGTCACCTGATCTCTCTAGGCCTCAGGTCAGAGTGTAACCTGAGGATAATACTAGGGTTGTTGGGATAATTAAATTAGCTCACATAAATACTTAGAACACTGTGTGATACATGGTAAATATTCAACAAATGTTTCCTTTCATTTCTGCTATTTATTACCATCAGGTCCCGTGTCTGTGGCAGCCTCCCCTGACCTCCTTTCCCGCTTGTGCTCATATGGCTCATACTGGCGGGGGCTCTTGGCACCAGCCCAGCTGGCCAGCTCTCTGTCCTCCTGACTCACAGCACTGTCCTACATCTGCCCCTCCCTCCTGTCTGAGGTCCACCCTTCTGTCCAGGGCCCACTTCAGTCTCGGATGAAGCTTTGTCCCAGCCCTATCTCTCAGGACCATTTTTTTTGCCCCATTGGGCTATGGTAAAGCCCACAGAGTGTGTGTGAGGGAAGGGCTCTGGGTCAACCCTGGCTGCCTCTTCTCGGGTTATGCAGGATAGTATTTTCCCCTCTAGCTTAAGAAGCATTTATGAGGTGCAAGAGACTCGCTTTGCTAGGTGTTTTATGGATATTATCTTTTTTAAATCTCTCATAAGTCTAAGAGATGGAGGTATTTGTTTTTCTATTTCACTGATGAGGAAATTGAGGCACAGAGAGATTAAGCAACTAGTAAGTGGCAAACTTGGAACTCAGCTGTCTGCTGACAAGGCTCATGTTCTCACCCTGCTAGGCTCTATGGATTCCTGCTCCTCAGCACCACACTGGGCCCTCCTCATTACTGTACCTGGGTCTCTTCACCACTGATGACCTGGAATTGTCTGTCTTCTTCAAGCATATAGAAATTAATCATTTAAAAAGTAACAACTGTTTATCAAGCCCCTCCTTTGTGTTAAGCACTGCTCTAGCAGATCATTAGGTGTATGAACTCATCCACTCCTCACATGAGCAAGGTGAGGTAACTGGAGCACAGAGAAGTTAGGTAATATACCTCAGGCCACACTGCTGTTAAATGGGGGAGCTGGGATAATGGTAAGGCACCAGGATGCACGGTGATATTGTAAATTTGTATGAGGTACAGGAAGAGTACAGAGCAGCGAGGAATGAATGGTTTAGGTGTCCAGCCAAGGCAGTTCTCTGAAAGGAGGTGACAACTGAGCAGGGTTTTGAAGAATGAATAGGAGTATCTTAGGAACTTAGGAGGAAGCTGATGGGGGAGATGCATTCCAGACAGAAGGAACAGTATATGCAAAGAATAGTGTGTTCCAGGTTATCAAAATACATCTGGTATTACTGGTAGGTACATACAAAAGGGATGGGCACTGGTGCAGGGGGAGGGGACTGAGGGGGTGAGTTAAGGTCAAAGAGAGAAACAGGGACCAGAGCAGGGTGGAGAATAAAGTTTTTGGGAGAAGGCACAGCTTCTTCTTGTGGGAGGAGGGAGATGCCAGTAGGTTTCAAACAGGGCACCTGTGAGGTCAAACTGTAGTTTTAGAAATGGGAGGGGGGCTTTGAGGGGTCCACAGCCACGCAAAAGGGAAAATTAGAGTTATTGGTGCCAATAGAGTTCTTGGCTATTGGTGATAAAAATTGGCTTGTTGAATAATTAGACAAGGGCAAGGAGAGCAGAGTCTGACATGGCCAGGACTCTAGCTTAGGTGACAGGGTGGACACTGGTAACATGAAACATGAACTAGGAAGCCTAGGTGGAATTTTCCTAAGCTTTGCCTTCTTTTACTCCTCTCCTCAGTGCTCTGAGTGCAACAAGGGCCCAACCAGAGCTTTGATGGTCAACACTGGTCACACAATCGATCCAGCAAGAAGCAAGGAAAAATGCTAGTTGACCCACAGGTACCATCTACATTGGGCATGTCCTATTAAAGGAAAGGCCTGTCCTCTCTGCTGAGCTCCTTACTGTTTGGAGGTACAAAAGTCAAGTTTGGGAGCAGGGGCTGGAGAGGGTCTTGCATCACAGTGAGAGAAATGTGGAGTTGGGGAAATCCAGGAGAGCAGTGAGGAGGAGGGATGGTGGGAGAGTGCAGAGGAAGGAGGGGAGGACAGGGAAGATGCAAGGTTCTGTCTTCTACAGTGTCAGGAGACGGTGGTGAGCAATCCCACCTCAGTGGTGGTGAGATGGGTGCCTGGAAGGCTTGAGAAACCAGGGAGTTAGAAAGCTCAGTGAGAGGTGTCTGCACATCTCTGATTTATGCCTCCTCCGCCCTCCTCTTTGGCAAACCTCTCAGCATAGTCTGCTGGACTCCTAGACGCCCTGTGTGCAAGGCAGGAGCATCGATGTGACAGCCGGGAAGCGGGGGGAGGCAGAGGGATGAGTGGAGTTCCACACCTGGTTGTGCAACAAGGAGCACCTACACTGGGCAGCAAGTTAATCCAGATGCCGGGACACAAGTGTAAGGCCTCTTGGGGATTAGCAGACACCCTAGTGTGGGTTTTGGACTTCCTCAGCATGTGGGATTAGACCTGGGCCAAACTTACCTCGCTCTCAAGTGTAGCGAGAGCCCAGTGGCCATGCGAGCTATTCATGGGTTTTACTTCACAGGAAGGTGGGTATCCAGCCTAGCTGCCCTTTCTTCCCCAGACACAAGCTTCCAGAGCAGGGCCAGCACCAGTCTCCCTTCTCCCAAGCCCCTCGGACACTGAGAGTGGGCGTGAAGGGGCTGGAGCCAATAAGTCTTAGAGGCAGAGAAGGGCAGCTCATCACAGGCGTCCTTTTCAAAAGCGGCAGAAGGAAGGTAAAAATGACACAGCCCCTAGTGTGTGTTCCTTTTTGTCCATTCTGGGAGACCTGGTATGCTCAGGAGGTGCTATTCTGGCCTTTGCCCCTTGTCTGGCACTAGGTCTGAGGTAGAAGGACAGCAGGAATCCTTTCTGTGAAGTGCACAAATGATAACAAGCTAGTTTATGCAGAGATCAAGTCCAAGGGAGTTTTTTTTTTAAGTGTTAGCAGAATTCTTCAAATAATATGGTAAAGACAAGCTTAATATATAAAACGGATAATAGTGTGAAGGTACTGGAGAAGTGGGTGGGGGCTTTAGAGCCCTACCGCCTGCTCCCCAGCCTCTGGTGGTGGAGTCAAGGCACCTCTAGAATCATTCAGGGAACACAATGTAAAAACCACAATTCGATCCACCCCCATTTTATAGATAAGACACTGCCAGCCAGAGATGAGATGCTGCCGTGCCTCAGCCTGGGTCATGCAGCTGGTCACAGGCAGAGTTGGCACAAACTCAGAGCAACTGCCTCCACACCCGGGTTCTCGTTCACCATAGCCACAGCTGATTACAAAAGAAATCACTTTATTATTTCCAAGTCCTGGACATAAGGAACATAACTGCCTACAGGTGTTCTGCTTGAGGGCCTCCCCTATGCAGGTGAGATTCATTTTCAAGTAAGAGCAAAGAGTCAGAAAAAAATGTCAACAGCCACTAGGGACAGCCCCTGTGGTCACAGGGAGAAGGGTGGCTTATTTGCAATTAATTCACTCAACTTCAGCAGGTTTGGTCTGGCTGAGTCATCACATGACCCCAGTAAAGCATGAATTAATGAGTGTTACTTCATTTTATGGCTGTAATTCAGAGAGTGTGCCCATCTCCTTAACCTAAGGACTCAGTGTAATCTCGATGCACCACCTCAAAAGGGGCAGGGGGGGCATGGACAGAGGGAGAGATCCCTCAGCCACCCCCACTGCAAGCCCCACCCACATGCTGTCTCTTGGAAGAAGTTTGGAGAACACCAGTTCATTATAAAAAGAGGGGCCTGAGGCACCTTCCAGCTGTCATAAAACAAGCAGAAATGCCACAGTTGTGCTCATGGGACACCTCACACAGCCAGTGTGAAAAATGCTATGTGAGCCAGGATATGAGTCCAAATCCCAGTGACACTAGAGGCTAAGCCTGGTGTATGAAAGTGACATGCTAGGCTCTTCCCCTCAGCCCTTTGGGACAGCCCAGTATTGCAGTGTTACCTCTATGAAATGATGTTCAGAGCCAAAGATGAAACTCTGGACCCAAATCACCATGAGAAGAAGTCTCCCCAAATCTTCTTGGTAAGGTGACCACCAGCTGCACAGATCACCGGTCACGCCTGTGCTGGTTATGGCCCGAGATCATGGCTCCCCCGGCACTTAGTGGACACTGAGAATCTTAGGTCCCTGAGGCAGGGGCCCACCCGTGTTCCACAAGACTGGACTGACTGCTGCTGGCTGGGCCTGGGGCCCACTGGCCACCTCACACTGGGTGGGGTGGGGAGGGAAGGAGGGAAGGAGTCTCAGCAGGGGCTCCAGCCTTGGGACTTGCTCAGAAGGGATACGGGAGGGGGCCTAGGATGCTGGAGGTAGTATTAGACCCTGGGGAAGAGTCAGCCTGCCTGCCGGAGAGCCCACCACAGGGCTGACACTGGCTGGGCGGAGGCACTCCACGCCCTTGCTCCAGCCTTTCCTCATCTGCTCATCTCTGAGCTGCCTGGGTCTTCGTCAACAGCCCCCGCATCTCTGCTGCTCAGTGAGTCAGGGGAGGACAGAGTCATCAACCTTGCTCTACTAGACGCCTCTCCCAGACTCTCTTATCACTCCTAAGCAATGTTTTTTATTCCTTTCCCCCTTGTTGTCCATGGAAAAAAGCTGATCCCATAGCTCAAGGGCACCTTCCCATTCCAGGAAGGGCAGGGCTGTCTGGGCAGTAGGGGTTAGAGGCACATGTCCTGAGACAGACCCTGAGCGGAAGAGGTTTTACAGAACCCAGCTGGCCACAGCCGGCTCCATCCTGCCCAGTCCTTACTAATGCAGCCAGGAGCCTTTCCAGGCCCCCTCCCCTAAGCTGCCCCAGTGAGGGCATCGATCGCCCTAATGGCAAGGCTCTGCAGTGGCTGGCCCAGGCTGCCCCCTCCCCAAGCCTTCCTGTGGCCGCTAATTAGCTGAAGTCCAGAGACTCCATTTCACAAATGGGGAACTGGGGCCCAGAGGGCCTTGCTGGGAAGTGAGAGAGGGGCTAAGCTTAGCATCATGCCTCCCCCACCCCCAAGCCATCTCTGGCAGCTCTTCCCTGAGCACCAGGGGAGGGGCAGTCTTTGCACAGTGGCAGCTCCAGAGTTTCTATAAAGGAAGCAAACAGAGGTGACAGTCGCCTTGGAAAGGGACTGGAGGACTTGATTTGAAGCTGTATTTGCAGAGCATGTACACTTACACTGTTCTGAGTTAGATTGGGTGGTTTTTTGAGTGGCTGTGAGGCTACTGATTGGGATTCTTGCGGTGGGAGTGGCTAAAGCTCTCCAAGCCTCTCTTGGCTCCACCACTGTGGTTTTAGCTGGGAGCCTTTGCCAGATACCCACAATTGTGGGTGAAGGGAGCTAGGTGACATACCTGGGAGGTCACAGGCCCCTAGCATTTACTAGAGATGCAATCAGGTGAAAATGCCGGGCAAGAGACGTTTTGGATAAAAAGACACAGAAGCAATACCAAGGGCAGCAGCCAGATACAGTGGAGAAGGGGTGTTGGCTGCCTGGAGCAACTGAGGCAGAAGAGAGGGAAATGGGGGGCATTCTGCTAGTGGTACTTGAATATACAAGCAGACTTCCCACCCCAACTCAGGTGCCCTGTAGAGAGAAGGCTGCCCTGGCCCTTGAGAGCTATGGCTCAGACAGCACAACCCTGGAAGCCCCTCCTAAGATGCTCTCCATGCTGTTCCAGGCCTCTGAGACAAGCTTAACTTTGGAGGAACTCAAGGAACCTATATCCCATTAAATCCCATTCCCATTAATCCAGAGAGAAACCTGGCAGAACTAACAAAGGTGACACCAGTTATGTAAAATGTGAAACATCTTCCACAGCCCATTGTTCTATAGTTTTGCAGAAACATTAATTATTCATCAAAATGGAACATCAGGCCCAACCACTACCACATCCCTGTAATCTGAGGTCCTGGGAACATTTGGGGCCCTTCTGTTCTAGGGCACTCATAGTGTGGGATGGGAAGGGGCATCTAGACACACACCTAGTTTACTGGCAGGATCACACCTCCAAGGAAAGGCTGGATCAGGATCCAGGTTCTACAGGCCATCGTAATAGCAAATCTCAGAACTGAATTGGCTTGAGGGTGAAAACTGTCCAGAAGATGGCCTGTTGTTCCTGAAATAAGCATTGGGGTCTTCCTGCAAGTTCAGGGCTGCAAACCATTCTTCTGATACTTTCTTCCAGTAAGGAGCCCCCTCTTCCAATACCTTCCAGGCCCATTTATAAGCAGAAAGCGGCTACTGCTCTCTGGGGAGTGCCAGAGTTTGGGCACCGGGCAGCTGGTGCTGAAAGAGGGCTCAGGGCTTCTGACCCTTCACACTCCCACTTCCAACATATCAATCCTGGGGACAGGACCAACCCATCCCCTCCCCAGCTCCCCTCAGTCTCCACCCCAGCTCAGTTCCTCCTCTAGGGCCTCCCTGCCCAAAGTCATTCTGGAGTCTCTTTTCCCTGGGTCCAGGTTTTTGTTTTTGTTTCTGTTTAATTATTTCAATAAACGTTTGGAAGGATTGCCACCATCACTCAGCCAGGGGCAGGCACAGACCCTTTCTGGCTCTTCTTCCCTTTTCTGGCCTGAGCCTTTCAGAAGGGCCAATGGCCCAACTGCTCAGTGTGTACCAGCTTGGGTTAGGTGAAAGTGGGGGAAGGGGGTTGGACACCGGTACCCTACCTCTAAACCAGCTCCTGGAAGGGAGCGGTGTGGGGGAGAGGGGGAAGCGGGCTTGTGGAGATAGTAGAATTGGCAGTGGGGGTCCCAGGAGGACTATCTTTGGCTGGAGATGGGGCTTCATCCTCCCAGGCAGAGTCTGGCCCAACCAGACCCAGCTACATCCCACCGCCACAGTATCTTCAGCCCACATCCAACCTCCCCACTGGGACTTAAGATTCATTCTGCAGAGAATTCACAACTGCCCCCAGGCCACCGGTGGCACCCCAGCTCTACTAGCCCTGGGAGAGAGATGGCACCAACCCAGCTGGAACCCACATCTTCCAGGGGATGCCAGTGGAGAGTGACATCGGGCGAGACCAAGGTCACAAAGGAAGGCAGAGGCAGAGCAGTAACGAAGGGAGTGGTGGGGGTCCTTAGGTCCTAGGCTCCCTCCCCAGGCAGCCCCCACAGCGCGCAGGAGAAGCACTCACCTCCGGGACCACTTGGCTGACGGCCTCCCGAAAGGCCGCTTCCACAGCACACCGTAGAGCTGCACTTTGGTGCTGATGTCCAGTGCGTCCGAGTCAGTCTGCTCCAGGGACGGCGAGGGTGACACCGAGTTGGACTTGGACGTGAACATCCTGCCTCGGCGCGGCTGCCTTGGGCCCGGCCCACCCTCCCCCGGGCAGGCTCGGACGCGGGGCTGTGGGCGAGGGCTGGCGCGCGGTGGCCGGCTTTAAAGAGGCGGCGTCGGCGGGCGGCTCCGGGCGCCGTCGGAGCGCGTCCCAGCCAGGCGAGACGCAGAGCGGCCGGCCGGGACCTGCTACTAAAGCTCGCGCGGTCGGGAGCGCGGCGCGGAGGGTGGGGGGCGCGCAATCTGCGCCTGGGGCTCCGGTTTGGGGCGGGCCGGCAGGAACTCCGGGGGGAGGGCGGCTCAGCCTCCAGCCAGCAGCATCTCCCCCGACTCCCCGCGACAGCCCCAATTCTGGGGGCCCCGATTGGCTAGGCGGGGCAGGTGAGCTAGCAGGCCGGCCGCGAGCGCCAATCAGTGCGGGCGCCGGCTGGAGGGCCGGGCTGCGTGCGTCCGGAAGGTCCCGGCGGGTCGCCCGGCCCGGGATGCGGCCACAGCACTTCCCCACGGCTACCGCTCGCGTACGTCTCAGCCCTGGGTTCCCTCTCGCGGGCTGGGCCCACACCGACACTGGGAACACATCTGCTTTGTGATGGGCTTGCAGTCACTCCTGCAGATGCCTACTCGCTTCTGGGGTTGGGGAGAGCAAGGTGTCACACAACCGGGCTGGGAATCCCAGCTCAGTGCTGATATAGCTCCGTGAGGCCGCGGTGAGACTTGCTTTTCCAACTGGAAAGCGGAGATGCCTGTACCTCCGAGGGCGGGCGGGTAGCTAGGTGGGTGCCCGGAGCGCCCACCCGGAGAGGAGGCCCGGTTAGGGCTGGCGGCCGCTCCCCCCGCCCTCCCCGCCCTTCAGGTGGGTTTCGCTTTACACCGCCGCCGCCTGTCCGGCTCAGATTTCTTTTCCCAGAACTTGGCTCTGCGTCGGCATTTGGCACTCAGTGCCAGTCTCTAGCGGCCCTTTTAGTGTGTGCGCGTGATTTATCTGCACGCCTGGCCGGTGCTCCCTGGAGCTCGACGCTCCACCCACTTCCGCTCTTCTCGGCGTCGGCTCTGGGTGACCCGCTCCCTTTCAGGCGGAGGCGGAGGTCTCTCCGGCCCCTAGGGACCGCGGGTGGGAAGGCAGTGTTCGCACCGCCGCCTGCCGGCTCCGCTCCAAAGGCCGGGACGTGAGTGTGCGCAGCAGGAGGCGGCCGGCCAGAGCAGGCGGCGGTCACCCTTTACCCGGCTGAGGAGCTGCCGGGCACTGCGCAGTCAGGATTCATCTGCGCCCTGGGGAAAGCCGCGCCCCCAGCTCAGGGTCTCCGAGTCCTCGTATGTCGAATAAAGAAGTCAGATTAGAACAAGTTTTCAAATGGGTAGCCTGAGAGCCACATCCGTTTATTCGTAAATATGCTTTATTAACTTGCCCGAGTAAAAATTGAGGTATAATTAATATGTGGTAAAATGCACAGATCTTAACTACTTACTAGACAAACTTTATTTGATGAATTTTACACCAAGTAACCACCACTCAAAGCAAGAAATCAAGATGCAAAACATTTCCATCACCCCAAAAAGTTCCCTCATGTTCCTGACTAGTCAACTCCCACTCCCCAGCCCCCTCCCAGGCAACTACTTTCTGACTCCTATCAGCATTTGGACACCTTTTTAGAATTTTTGTGCCTTAAACGACATTCTCCACAGATCCACATTCCTCACTGTCCTTTGTTCAGCCTGCTGTGCTCATTTATTACCGGTCTGACTTCTCCTTGAAGGCATTTGAGTTTGTGAGCCTCACTGGATGCTCCCCAAAGCCTCCCCAGGCCTAATTTTTTATGAGTCTAGTTAAGAAGTAGCCTCCCAGAGGGCTCCCACACCCTGGCACCCTATCCCTAGCCATTTCTGGGGTCCCCAAACCCTGGCAGCATCTCCTGTGCTCACTGTCCAGAAAGCCCATCTTATTCCTTTGTGCCCCTCATGGTTCACGAGCCCCTGCAGAACATCTCAGGCCCAGCCTTAACCCAGGGCCCAGAGCCTGGTCCACTGGGTGGGAGGAGACTAGACTAGGAAGATGCTGAGAGCCCATGGACAGAGTGCAAAATGGGTATTTCACACATTTTGGGGCTATTTTTGACACATGTTCTCATGCATGGAAAATTAGGAGTCCTGCTTTTCACATATGGAAGATAGGAAACTTGTGTTAGAAGCCTGTGTGGAGTTCGCTGGTCAGGGGCAGCAGGACAGGACTTGGACAAAGCATGCACAGGCATCAGTTTCTCAAAGGAAGTTGGGACTACAGGTATCTGACCTGCTCATTCAGGGGTCAGCTGTGGCCGCAGGATTGCCTCCCCAGAGCAGCAGGCACCATTAGTGCTGTCAGCAGCAGTTCCTCATAAGGTTGCTTCTACAGCAGCGTTTTGGGGTAACATTCCTGGAAGCTTTGCTCAGGCCTGGATGTCTAGCCCTGCCAAGATCCTTTTAATAAATTAATTCCTTTCTACTTAATCAGGTCAGTACCAGCTTTGGCTGCGCACCATGAGGGCCTAGTGAAGAGCTGTGGAGCCACTGGTGGGAGAAAGGCAGGATAACTGGCACCAATCTTCAGGAAGCCCTTTCCAAGGAGCAGGGCTGAATGAGCCCAGATGGTTCCTGGGAAAGATTTGGTGGAAAGTTTCTTCAGTGGCGAAAAGAGACCAATTTTTGCCCATTCCCTCTGCAATGCGGGACATGTGAACAGACCTTGGCTATGGCAGGTAAGGCTGGGTGGAAAGACCTGAGGCAAATGGCCTGAGTTTGATGGACCACTAGATACTTAAGTGGCTTCTGCTTCTCTCAACAGTCCTGATAATGCCATGTCAGCTGTGGGAGAAGCCATTTCTGCTTCCATTGTGTTCTCTGCTCTGGCTGGTGGGAGTGCTGAATGCCTGGCAGATAGCTCTTTGGATGACAAAACAAGCTGGGTGCCAGTCCAGTGCCCCAGACCAGGTGTGTGCCAGTGCTGCCCAAACTTATCAGACACTAAGTCAGACCAGTCAGTGGCGGAAATGCAGGGTCCTGAGTGTCCTACATGCACTGACACAGACCTGATGTTCTAAATACCTTATTTACATCTTATCTATTCCATTTGATTTTTGAAACAGCCCCAATAAGGTACATATTATTTTTAGTTTTCCAGGTGAGAAAAATGAAGTTCTAAAAGGTTTTCTACCTAAGGTCACTCAGCTAGTAATATCCTGGAACATGAAAGGCCCTCACATATGAGTTGAACAAGGGAAAGTGACAGGATCAAGATACTTGATTCAGTCCGAATCCAAAGCTCATACCAGCTACCCTGTAGCACACTGCCATATGAAATATGGTCCAAGAAAATGCTAGACTTCCCTTTCAGGTCTAGTAGTTTTCCCTTTTTTCCTAGTAATTTCTCTCAAGTGCCAACTCACCTAGGGCTCAAAGTTCCTGCAGAACTGAAGACAAAATTCTACTTGAAGTAAAAATTCCAGCCTAGCAGCTATACCCAGAGATAGATGCCAAATAATGAGTATACATTTTCTTTTTCTTATAGTTTTATTTATTTTTCTCAGCTTTATTGAGGTATGATTGACAAATACTAATTGTAAATATTTAGGTCATAGAACATTTTTTTAAAAGGCATGCAACATGATTTAATATATGTATACCTTATGAAATGCTGACCATAGTCAAGTTAAGTAACATATCCATCATCTCACATAAGTTACCATTTTTTTACATATGATGAGAACACTTAAGTCTACTCTGTTGGCAAATTTCAAGTATATAGTACTGTATTAACTATAGTCACCATGCTGTACATTAGATGTCCAGAACATATTCATTGTATAACTGAAAGTTTGTACCCTTTGACCATCTCCCTATTTTCCCTAGCCCCAGTCCCTGAAAACCATTCTACTCTCTGGTTCCATGAAATTGACTCTTTAAGATTCCATTTATAAGTGAGAGCGTGACAGTATTTGTCTTTCTGTGTCTGGCTGATTTCACTTAGCACAATGTACTCCAGTTTCATCCAGGTCACTGCAAATAGCAGGATTTCTTTTTTATGGTTGAATAATATTACAGTATATATATATGTGTGTGTGTGTGTGTATATACAGTATATATATATGTGTGTGTGTATATATATATATATGAATAATATTACAGTATATATATTTTATACATATATATATACACACCCACACACCATTTGGTATGTGTGTACATATATATATATATATATGTACGCACACACACATGCCATATAATATATATATAAATTTTTTTCTTTATCCATTCATCAGTCAACAGACACTTAAATTTTTTCCACATCTTGGCTACTGTGAATAAGGCAGCAATGAAAGCGTATCTATCTTTTCAAAGTGCTGATTTCATTTCCTTTGGATATCTATACAAAAATAGATTACTGGGTTATATGGTAGTTCTGTTTCTAATTTTTTAAGGAGCCTTTCTGTTTTTTTCCATAATGGCTGCACCAGTTTGCATTCCCACCAACAGTCTACAAGTGTTCCCTTACTCCACATCCTCACCAACACTTATTTATTGTCATTTTGAGAATAGCCATCCTAACAGGTGTGAAATGATATCTCATTGTAGTTTTTATTTGCATTTCCCTGATTAGTATGCTGAGTACCTTTTCATGTACCTGTTAGTCATTTGCATGTCTTCTTTGGAAATATGTCTGTTCAGGTCTTTGCCTGTTTTCTAATCACATTTTTTTTTTCTATTGAGTTACATGAGTTACTTACATGTTTTGGATATTAACCCTTATCAGATATATGTTTTGCAAAAGAAAAGGCACTCATTCCATAGGTTGCTTTTTCATTTTGATTGTTTGCTTTCAAACAAAAGAACATACATTTTCATCATATTGCTTTTACCCATAGTATGCAGGTTCATGTGACAGTCACCATTGTTCCATGAAACAGGTGTTAGCATGGCCATTGTATATGACTAGGCCACAGTAAGGAAATGTGTGAGTATTGACTGGACCCAGCTCTCTGATCTTACCCTTCAGCCAGAG